AAAAGAAATCCATAGAGTGTGTATAGAAACTTTTGAATATTTTTCTTAGAAGGTTGATTCCATTCCTTTAGAGTTACAATATGAGAATCCTAAAAGGGAGCAAGAAAAGAAATCCATAGAGTGTGTGTTGAAACTTTTGAATATTTTTCTTAGAAGGTTGATTCCATTCCTTTATAATTGTGATATGAAAATCATAAAAAAGAACGGAAATAATAGAATCTATGACACATAAAGACAAATCTATATTGCTTTGAAACTATACACGCATGCTGCATTTTCCATTGCAACCAAATTTGTGTTAAGCATTTATTAGAAAATGTATACGTATTATCAATATTATTATTTTGATTTTATCAATAGTTATAGATACATAATACAATGCAGATAAGGTGTTCCATTTTATTTTCCAATCAGGGAATATGTTGGAGACTCTGAGTGAATTAGAAGGCAAGGTTTGAGCATGATTAATCTGTGGCAGTAAACCGGGTTCGTGGAAATCGGATCAGTAAGTGAACTAGGCCAAATTAGAAGCAACTGAAGTTCATTCTGTTTAAATGGTTCAGTGGTGCCATCGTCTTCTTCTCTTCGTCATTTTTTTTCTCTCTCCCGGAAAATTCTTAGCTCGTGAGTAGGATTCGAACAAGTTAAACTCTGGTGTCCAACTCTTTTCTGCATTTTTTTTTCTTTCTACAATTCCTCAATTTCGAGTGCTCGATTTTCACAGTAGGGTTCGATCAATTTGGTTAAAGGTATAAGCATTACAATTGGTATCAGAAAATGGTTGCGAATAAGCGAAAGTTTGGAGCCAGGGAAGCAACTCAATTGAGGTTGGATTTCGGAACAAACCAAGAATATATTTATCAATGACACAAGAAGAAGTAGAAGAGTTTTACGTTGGAAACCCCGACTATAGAGGATATAAAAGAGCTCAAGTATATCTCCCGTTGCCCGTATAAACGAGCCCTCACCCTCCCATAACACAGCCTAGTTCTCCTTTGAGTGGTTCATACAGCTCCCCCATTCTCATTAGCCGAACTTCTCATACTTTCCTTAAAAGTTGGGTGCCCGAGTTAATTTTTAGAATTTTTCATATACTATAAGTTCATTTGGGTCTGTATCATATACAGGATTTGAGGTTGTCAAAAAAGGATCGTTCTATAAAACTCGATATATCCAATTCTCTTTATATAATTTTCGAAATGGATTATAATTAGGTCCTATACATGTGATTCAGATAATGCGGTAAATCCCTACCTGATATTAGTTTTACAAATATAAATGATGAGGAAATGAGATAATTTTTTTTTTTAATGATTTTGGTATACCAATTCATCATTTTCCATATAAATTTCAAGGAAAATTCATGACGAATGGCTGTTTATAATATTTCATATGTAAAAGTTTTAATACACCTTTTGATTATTGAATCATTTACATGGAAGCAATCTGTTGTAGTCTTTTGAACCAAAGAATCAATGTAGGCACCGTCACCCTCTGGAATGAAGCCATTGATCTCCATCTATATAAGACAAATTCATGTAGAGGGATGCTTCAACTTCGGTGAGTTGCTTCGAATACGGGACCCTTCCACTCCGGTCTGCTCCCGGTCCATAGTTTGCATATTCTCCGAAAAACACCGTCCTACAAAAATCGATACTCTCATCAGACTAATTGACTGAAATTTTTAGAACTAGATATCGAAAATATTTGTTCGCTAACCTGTCTCGAGAAGGATCGTCCCAATCATTCCATCCATCCGAAGACGACGGTTGCATACGGTCTCCACGCCCGACCGAGTAGAATTTTCCCCGTCCCGTCTATTCTACAATTTACAAACGAAAAGCCCGTGCTCTCGTTTGGCGCAATCCTTGCATGAGCGGTGATGTATCCGGACGTAACCTCCTTTGCTACGGAGTTTATCGTACAGTCCTGTTATTATTGTAGTTTCAAATGTTATTTTATATTACAAGATCACAGATCATTCCATCCGAATATACATATTCATATAAATATGTATATAGAGAGAAGATCCGTTGGTATTTGAGGGGTCCCGTCTGGCTAATTAAAAAAAAAATAATTTACTTACAAATTTTAAACAAAAATGTTCAATGTCCCCACAAGTCTCGTGAATGTTAAATAAAAAGATATCAACAAAGTTGGTGTTGAAGGAAAATAAAAATCATCTTCGATCTTATTTTTTTAGTTCCGCTGCAGCAGAAGCATATTCCCTCTAAACAAGAGGAGCCTGTTTTCTGCAAGTACTTCTTTTCAATTTTGTGAAGTTTCTGGTTGGAAAACAACCAAAACCATTATCCCTCTCAACCACAAACTGAGTTGCAGAGGAGACATTATGGCTCATGAAGAGTACAACACCATCGCCACATTTGAGTTTCCGAATGATTGAAAATACATGGCCACGAACGAGCAAGGAAGAGAGGGACCATGCTTGTGATGCAGTGTGGGTCGACCTCCGAAAGATTCATCCGGACCTTGATTCAAAAATGGCAGTATTGTTCCCTTTTCTTGGTTTGCTTGATGGGGAATATAATGATCTCATCTTGCAGATATTGGAGAAAAATCAATCGATAATTGCAAAAATAGTCTCTTCACTCCTTTCTTCTCTTTCTTTTTGGGATAAATGTGAGATATCCAAACATTCCCCCTCACCTGATGGTTGAATGGGTTTCATATGCCGTAAGAAAAACTTTCTAACAGCCTCCGTTGTTGTTTCGATCGGGACTTCATCCTTCATTTTTTTCAAGCGTTCTTCGAGCCACATGATTCTTGCTTCTTTTGCAATTATCGATTGATTTTTCTCCAATATCTGCAAGATGAGATCATTATATTCCCCATCAAGCAAACCAAGAAAAGGGAACAATACTGCCATTTTTGAATCAAGGTCCGGATGAATCTTTCGGAGGTCGACCCACACTGCATCACAAGCATGGTCCCTCTCTTCCTTGCTCGTTCGTGGCCATGTATTTTCAATCATTCGGAAACTCAAATGTGGCGATGGTGTTGTACTCTTCATGAGCCATAATGTCTCCTCTGCAACTCAGTTTGTGGTTGAGAGGGATAATGGTTTTGGTTGTTTTCCAACCAGAAACTTCACAAAATTGAAAAGAAGTACTTGCAGAAAACAGGCTCCTCTTGTTTAGAGGGAATATGCTTCTGCTGCAGCGGAACTAAAAAAATAAGATCGAAGATGATTTTTATTTTCCTTCAACACCAACTTTGTTGATATCTTTTTATTTAACATTCACGAGACTTGTGGGGACATTGAACATTTTTGTTTAAAATTTCAATGAGTGTGGCCGAGATGAGGATGTTGAGATGGATGTGCGGACATACAAGGATGGATAAAATTAGAAATGAAATTATTAAAAAGAAAATAGGAGTAATAGGTATCGAAGAGAAGGTAAGAGAGGGGCGTTTAAGATGGTTTGGTCATGTACAATGTAGGTCGATTGAAGCACCGGTTATAAAAGTGAAGAGTATAGGTATAGGGGTAAGAAGGAAAGGACGAGGAAGACCTAGACTTACTTCGGAGCGGGTCATTAGAAACGATTTGGAAATATTGCAGATTCCGAAAGAGTTAACCCGAGATCAAAATGAGTGGAGAAAAATTATTCATGCGGCCGACCCCAAATGAACTTGGGAATGAATTTTCAACGGATTTTCGGCCTTTCCTAACGGATATGCCGGTTGGAATTTGGGGGTTTTTTTGTAGTGATATGAGTCATGACTTGAATCTCATGTGATAGGTTTGCGACTAAATCCCTGCATGGATAATTTTGCCGCGTTCAAGGTCTCGCCTGATCCATCCTCTATCATTGAAGAAATGAAATATTTGTACAATGTTTCAGACATTTTGTTGAGCATCTCCAACATGATATAGCACAAATAGGATTATTCACTTGTCTTATAATTTCATTGGAAAAACGTCGTTGGAAATTCGATTCCGTTGGAAATCCGTGGCAATTTCCAACGGAATTCTAACGCAAGTATTCGTTGAAATATTTCAACGGATTTCTAACGGATATTTCCGTGGCATAATTCCAACGGAATTCCAACGGCATATCTGTGGTAAAATTACCACCGATATCCGTTGGAATGTCCGTTAGAAAATTTTCATTCATCCAAAACTCTAATTCTCCTGCAAAATATTAAAAACATCGAAGTCGAAAAAAATGTATAAAGGATATCCATAAATATGCGAAATATCGTGAAATACACTAGACATCCGATGTGAAAAATGTGACAATATATACTTGGCTAGATCATCGGCCTAGACCTTTAGACCGGACAGTCCAGTCTTTGGATTAAACGTTGCGTTTCGTGCTGAAATCAAGGTCAAACCAATCGATCTAGTCCCTGGAATGATCGGTCCAAACGTCGAGATAATCCTTCTCCTTCTCAAACTAGGTTTTCTGGGAAACAAATAAAAGGAGCACGACCCCTATGGTTTTGACACGCCTCCTCAAACTCTTAGAGCAGATCTAAGAGTTGCAAAATCCACTTTTGATTCCCCATAACCCTGCAAATTATAGAGATCATGATTTCTAATCTAGCAAACGAGTTCCAACCGTTGGAATTCTTCCCGATGCGTGGATACGTGTAGAGGGTGTGGTACTCTTCTAATCTTCTTATGATCGATGTTTCAGTTGTGAGAATAGACCCTGGATCATTTAAGGTTAATGTTTCTTCTATAGATTTACAATCTATGCATATTCGGTTTTAGGATTTATTTAGAAAAAGTTTTGTTTTTCACATTCCGCTGCATGAATTCTAGAACCGGATCTCTAGGATTATGAATTGATAGTGAGATTCTAGAAATTCCAACAATTTGAGGGGAGATTTCGGAAGAATATAATACAATAATGGATTGTTATATATTTTTATAGTACCAAAAGATCCAAATTGAACTTATACCGAACCGACATACATCTTGGCAAGTATCTCTTTAGCACAAAAAAGACAAGTGAATAATCCTATTTGTGCTATATCATGTTGGAGATGCTCAACAAAATGTCTGAAACATTGTACAAATATTTCATTTCTTCAATGATAGAGGATGGATCAGGCGAGACCTTGAACGCGGCAAAATTATCCATGCAGTTAAGTGCCTGATGCATAACACCCGAGGCAAACATTTTTAGAGAGTCTCCGTCTCCTCTCGCCAAAGCCTTGAGGGCATCACCTAAGTAAGCCAAAGAATGTCCATATTCCCCTGAGATATTCTTGTAGACACCCTTTGAAGTAGCATCGGTTGCTTTCTCGATGTTCGAATCGATATGTTTCTGTGTTTCTGTCGTGATTTGGCGTGCATAATCGATGACGAGTTTGGCAAGGGTGAGAAGATCCGCTTTTGCTGTCTCGGGTTTTGATTTTAAGAACTTCAGACAAAACTCAGGGTTTGTTGCCCCCGAGCAGATGTGTTCGATTTCAGATTCTAAAGGTTTGATGGTTAATCTTGCGGATGAAGAGACAACAAGAAATAGAAAAACCGCAAGAGGAGCCATCAGAAAATTGGTTTTGAGGTTGGAAGCCATTCTTATGTTTTACTTGAATGAAAGCTCTGAATAATATGTTTGAGGTTTGTGTTATTTTATAGACTTTTGAAGCTTGCATAGAAATTACTTCCACAAAAGGATGATTTAGTATTATCCATTCGTTTTGTGTTATATTATTCTTGAAATTAAAAGTTTTGAATATTTTCCTTTGAAGGTTGATTCTATTTTTTTAGAGTTACAACATTTAAATCATAAAAAAGGACAAGAAAAGAAATCCATAGAGTGTGTATAGAAACTTTTGAATATTTTTCTTAGAAGGTTGATTCCATTCCTTTAGAGTTACAATATGAGAATCCTAAAAGGGAGCAAGAAAAGAAATCCATAGAGTGTGTGTTGAAACTTTTGAATATTTTTCTTAGAAGGTTGATTCCATTCCTTTATAATTGTGATATGAAAATCATAAAAAAGAACGGAAATAATAGAATCTATGACACATAAAGACAAATCTATATTGCTTTGAAACTATACACGCATGCTGCATTTTCCATTGCAACCAAATTTGTGTTAAGCATTTATTAGAAAATGTATACGTATTATCAATATTATTATTTTGATTTTATCAATAGTTATAGATACATAATACAATGCAGATAAGGTGTTCCATTTTATTTTCCAATCAGGGAATATGTTGGAGACTCTGAGTGAATTAGAAGGCAAGGTTTGAGCATGATTAATCTGTGGCAGTAAACCGGGTTCGTGGAAATCGGATCAGTAAGTGAACTAGGCCAAATTAGAAGCAACTGAAGTTCATTCTGTTTAAATGGTTCAGTGGTGCCATCGTCTTCTTCTCTTCGTCATTTTTTTTCTCTCTCCCGGAAAATTCTTAGCTCGTGAGTAGGATTCGAACAAGTTAAACTCTGGTGTCCAACTCTTTTCTGCATTTTTTTTTCTTTCTACAATTCCTCAATTTCGAGTGCTCGATTTTCACAGTAGGGTTCGATCAATTTGGTTAAAGGTATAAGCATTACAATTGGTATCAGAAAATGGTTGCGAATAAGCGAAAGTTTGGAGCCAGGGAAGCAACTCAATTGAGGTTGGATTTCGGAACAAACCAAGAATATATTTATCAATGACACAAGAAGAAGTAGAAGAGTTTTACGTTGGAAACCCCGACTATAGAGGATATAAAAGAGCTCAAGTATATCTCCCGTTGCCCGTATAAACGAGCCCTCACCCTCCCATAACACAGCCTAGTTCTCCTTTGAGTGGTTCATATAGCTCCCCCATTCTCATTAGCCGAACTTCTCATACTTTCCTTAAAAGTTGGGTGCCCGAGTTAATTTTTAGAATTTTTCATATACTATAAGTTCATTTGGGTCTGTATCATATACAGGATTTGAGGTTGTCAAAAAAGGATCGTTCTATAAAACTCGATATATCCAATTCTCTTTATATAATTTTCGAAATGGATTATAATTAGGTCCTATACATGTGATTCAGATAATGCGGTAAATCCCTACCTGATATTAGTTTTACAAATATAAATGATGAGGAAATGAGACAATTTTTTTTTTAATGATTTTGGTATACCAATTCATCATTTTCCATATAAATTTCAAGGAAAATTCATGACGAATGGCTGTTTATAATATTTCATATGTAAAAGTTTTAATACACCTTTTGATTATTGAATCATTTACATGGAAGCAATCTCTTGTAGTGTTTTGAACCAATGAATCAATGTAGGCACCGTCACCCTCTGGAATGAAGCCATTGATCTCCATCTATATAAGACAAATTCATGTAGAGGGATGCTTCAACTTCGGTGAGTTGCTTCGAATACGGGACCCTTCCACTCCGGTCTGCTCCCGGTCCATAGTTTGCATATTCTCCGAAAAACACCGTCCTACAAAAATCGATACTCTCATCAGACTAATTGACTGAAATTTTTAGAACTAGATATCGAAAATATTTGTTCGCTAACCTGTCTCGAGAAGGATCGTCCCAATCATTCCATCCATCCGAAGAAATGACTGAAGACATGTACGTTTTGGAGAAGACGACGGTTGCATACGGTCTCCACGCCCGACCGAGTAGAATTTTCCCCGTCCCGTCTATTCTACAATTTACAAACGAAAAGCCCGTGCTCTCGTTTCGCGCAATACTTGCATGAGCGGTGATGTATCCGCTGATACCGGACGTAACCTCCTTTGCTACGGAGTTTATCGTACAGTCCTGTTATTATTGTAGTTTCAAATGTTATTCTATCATTCCATCCGAATATATACATATTCATATGGAGATCCTGTCGCTACCAAAAGTATGCCCCTCAATCAAGTCATTTTCATTCCAGTGGAAAGAAAACCGAGTTTACAATACAACTCTGTTTTTGAAATATTTTCTAGTCACTTTGGACAGGAAGTAACTCTCAAAAAAGGTATTTGGATGCAACCATTTGAATCAGAGGGAAACGGAAGATACATTTCAAGGAACTGAAGGTAAGATTTTTTATTCATTTGAACATGAGACTTATGTGGTTTTCAGGACTCTCAATATATAAACAAATTGATTTATGACTATATATATATGTTATTTTATATGTATAATTCCCGGTAAAGTACTTATACATATGAAAGAGTGAGTTTTACCGCGTATAGAGATTTGCCATTGCCGAAGATGAAGTCGACGGAGCCTTGAATAAAACAGTCCTTGAAAAAGTGTGTGCCCAAGTTATCAAGAAGTGTATCTTGATAACCGTAGAAACCGCATCCGTAAAACGCGGCATGGTTTCCATCGATCCTCACAGCCACCGCCTGTCCACCTTCTCCTCCTGGCTTTGGCTCCGGCGCCGTGTTCTTGATTAATTCAAATCAAAACAATGAGACATGAGAAAAAGGTTGTAGCAAAGACAACAAAAAAGAGAAAATAGGGTAAAAAATCTTACCTTGAAGCTTATGTTGTAAGCCGTAAAATTGTCGGCATATACAACGAAAGAGAAGGTATTAAACGTGCCGTTTGTAGATGCCGCTGTATCATTCCACTCGATTGATGTGCTTTGATATCCATTTCCTTGTATCACGATATTGGGTTTGTCTTCACCAACTGTCACCTTTTCCCTGCTTATTCAAAAGACATTTACAAAAGAAGCCCATGAGCCAACAAGGTTGTTTTCGACAAAGGAGAATTATGTGTCATAGGAAATGACACTTATCAGACATCGTCCAAGATCATAATATGAGATAGAAGTTTCTCAAAAGCGATGAAGTCTCAAGTGTCGGATGATGAACTCTGGCACAAAAGACTTTGACACTTTCAATGCTAAAGGTACCACATACATTATCAGAAATGGAATGATGATAGGTTTTCCACATAGTCAGAATACTGTTGTTTCAAGGTATGTCCTTTGGGAGAACACAGAAGGTAAGAAGATATACAGCAAATATATGTCCTGTATTCTCGCTAACAGAACCAACCAGGATCTGGGTTGAGAATCAAGCAGCGATTGCCATGGAAAAACTAAGCATTTTAAAATCACGTGTTATTTTCTCATGGAAGCTCAAGAAGATGGTGAAGTCAGGCTAGAGTGTTGCAGTTCGTAAGATCAAAACGCATATTTGTTTACCAAAGCTTTTCTACCAGTCAGGTTTGAAATGCTGCGGATCATGATTGGCATGGAGGCAAAGTCTTAAGCCAAGGAGGAGCATGTTAGTTAGGAGACAGAGATGGCTCAAGACGTTGCAGAAGACAAAGTTAAGTTTCTGGAAGTTATGTCTGAACAATATAAATATGTGTAAGAAGCTTTGTGAATAATAAGAAGTTGAAGATTGCTGTCCAGAATCCAAAAAACAGATCAGATCGTGTGGCGAACAGTGGTGTCAGAGCCTTTCAAGGATCTTTGTGGGACCTGAATGTGTTGAAGTTGCAGCGGTTATAATGGATCAGACAGAATCTTCGAACATCTCGAATCCCATAACGTTAGTCTGCATAGATGTATATGGGTCGGACGAATTGATATTGGGCCTAAAAAGGCCCATTACCGTTAGTTTGTAACCGGTTTATTCGGTTATCCGAACCGATCTGACCCAGATCGTACCCATAATATGCGTTTCGTTTGTCTTATAAGCTGGCTCATGATTAAACCTACTGAATCTATAATATTATGATATTTGTAAAAAAAATAAAAATAAATCAGAAAATATTAAACGAGTGCCATAATTTTTTTTTTCTCTGGGAAATGAGGATTATCAACACAGACCGTTGAAAAAAAAAAAGTCACAAATATATTGCTTCACATCGAAAGAAAAGAGACAAACTTTGTTGATTTTCTCTAAAACATTTAATGGGTGATAAGAGTTACCTGTAGATACCAGAAGTTACGATGATAAGAGTTCTGTAGAGGCTCATCTTAGGGACAGCGTCAACAGCTCTCTGGACGCTAGTAAAGTTTCCCATGCCACGTGTGTCTACGGTGAAGACAAGCGCAGCATTGTCGGGAGGAGAAGACAGAGAGAAAATAGACACTGCACATAGCGTCATGAGGATGGCCAAGAAAGTGGTGATCGCCATTGTTTTGATTAAAGAGAATGGTTATGTGAATACTCTCAAGACTCTTTGTTTATAATCGGAGGTAATATGCCATTTCATCCTTTTTTTTTACGCAATTTGTATTCACGTTTTGCTATTTTAAAAGAATATTTTTTTTATATGATCAAGGATGAAAATAATTCGAGACGCGTGAATATATGGATAAATTTGGAATAGATATTTGTAGTTTTTTCAATGAATGATTGGTTCATCATGTGAACATGTTCAATTTAAATCGATTCCATCCATTTTCGCTATCTATACCTATTTCATTTTTTTCTTATTTTAATCTAACTTAATGTTTGCCACTTTATTTTAAAATCATTTTATATGTGGAGTTTTGATGAAATGAAAGGCTAAATTTTATCCAAAAAAAAAAGAATTATACTTCCCAGTCACATAATTTATAATAAACTCAGGGAACTAACAGATAAAAAGAATTGTACTTCCCAATTTATTATTATTAGGAATGACATTTTTTTTTCTACGCAAAAAAATCACTGAATTAATAACAATTTCCATCACAGGTGAAAAGGGCATTAAATCTCTCTCAATGACGTCCACGGTTACGTTTTCATGTCCAGCCACATCAGGTTATTTTGCCACGTTAGACATCCACATCATATTTAATATTATTAAATAATTAATGAAAATTTTGTAATTGAAAAAAAAAAACTCCACAATCCCAAATCAATATGGGAAGATAGGGCACGAAGTCATCTCTCTCTCTCTCTCTCTGTGTCTTTTCCTGTTCTCTCTTCCTTATTCTTGTTCTCTCTCTGTTCCTCCCCTCTCCTTTCTCATCGTCTTGGTGTTATCAATCCATGGTCGACTCTGCTCTCTCTCCGTCCTTTCTCGGTGTTGTCAATTCGAGTACCTATCCTCTGTCATAACCCAGGGAGGAGCCTGGTCTTTTTCTCGACTACGCTTTCTATTCAGTGGTCGAGTTGCTCGGAATCAGTTCTCTTTTCCTATTAGGGAACGATCTAGGTGCTGAAATCAATCGGAATATGACCTGAATCCACGAGGGGTTTTGACTGAGTGAGCGATTCTCTCAGGATTTGATTGGGTTTTTTATCTGTTTGGTGGTGGTGTTGGCGATGGAGGATTCCGATAACAATAGGTGTAGGTCGAGCGGCGTGACGATAGATGACGTCATCGAGCAAGTGATGCCGTACATAACCGACCCCAAGGACCGTGATTACGCGTCGCTGGTGTGCCGGAGATGGTGCAAGGTCGACGCCGACACGAGGGAGCACGTGACGATGTCTCTCTGCTACACGGCGAAGCCCGACTGCCTGAGCCGCCGCTTCTCAAATCTGAGGTCGATGAAGCTGAAGGGCAAGCCCAGAGCCGCCATGTTTAATCTGATTCCGGAGAATTGGGGAGGGTATGTTACCCCTTGGGTGAACGAGATCGCGGCCTCTTTCCGGCAGCTCAAATCGGTCCACTTCCGGCGTATGATCGTCAGCGACTTGGACCTTGATCTTCTGGCGAAGGCGAGAAAAGACGAGCTCGAGGTTTTGAAGCTCGATAAGTGTTCTGGGTTCTCTACTGATGGGCTTTTGAGCCTCGCTCGACATTGCAGGTTTGTGATTTCCCCTGCCTTGTTGTGTTCGATCCATTTCCATGAGAATTGTTCTGTTATCCATCGATGTGTTTGAGATTCAGCTTCTGATCTTTATCCCTTCATTTTCAAAATGTTAACAATCAAGGGCTGGAAATTGTTTACTTACGAAAGATATGATAGCTGTTATTCTGGTGCTTGATATATGGTATTGTCCATTTGTATCCCGTTGATGAGCTGATAATTAGTAATACCAAAATGGTATCTTTCCCAAAAACTTTACGGCCCTTTTGATTCTTTTCTACACCAATGATTTTGTCTGTGGAGGTAGTGGGTCAGACGTGATGGAATCTAGGACAGGCTTGCATCCTTAAGTTGAACTACAGTGGATTCCTTGTTCTCTTTCTTGATGATTGAGCTTGTGAAATGATTTGTGATTTTGTTACTTAAAAAGGAAAAAAAAACTAGCGAGCCCTCCAAGTACAAGCGAGCGAGGTTGGCTAGTAGCTGATAAGTGTTCACTGCCCTAGTTGTACTCCCTGTCCAAGTGCTTCAATGTCCATGGTGAAAACCATACTTATGATTCAGGAATGTTCAAGGCCTGATCGGAGAGCGTTGGATATGTAAAAGTGGGACGGGGCTTATGATATAATCTGACTAGAAGAAAGAGTACACCGAGTCTTCTTTTGATAGTCAGTCTTGTGCTACGAAAAATCTCGTGTTAACTATTGTTTCACAAGAATCTAAGGTCTGTTTATTCTTCTCAAGTCTTTGACGTTTTGAAACTTAATATATGGGAAATCAGAGTGTAGAACTAAGCGTTAATATTTCTTTTGCCTTCATTTTTCACCGATTTATGCCTTCAGAATTTGTTGGCAGATTGTTTATATGTCCCCTGAATATTGTTACTATGGTGATTTTATCTTTATTACTTGCGTTTCTTTGTCTTCCAGTCCCAATGCCTCCTTATTATGTTTGATTTCCCGGTACAAATTGCACCAGAGATATCTCTGTGTTTCATATTTTACCAATATGAATGTCATATTTTTTTCTGTGGCCCATGATGAAATAAGTGATATTCATAGTGTGAAGCAACATGTATATGTTTTCCGATATCCAAATTTCTTGAGCGGCTTCTGACGATCTTTGTGCTGTTGTTGGGTTTTTCTCCCTCCCAGGAAGATAAAAACATTTCTCATGGAAGAAAGTTCTTTCGTTGAAAAGGATGGTGAATGGCTTCATGAGCTTGCTCTGCACAACACGTCATTTGAGGTTTTAAACTTTTACATGACGGAGCTCGTGAAAATCAACCCGCAAGACCTTGAAACCATAGCTAGAAACTGCCGCTCTCTGGTTTCTCTGAAGCTTGGCGACTGTGAGATTCTTGACCTTGTCGGGGTCTTAAAGGCTGCTACTAATCTCGAAGAATTCTGTGGTGGCTCCTTCAACGAGGATCCTGACCGGCCTGACAAGTACTTGAATTTAGTTTTCCCACCTAAACTGCGTGGTTTGGGCCTCTCCTACATGGGTACAAACGAGATGCTGATAATATTTCCATTTGCTGCCCAAATCCGGAAGTTAGATTTGCTCTATGCACTGCTGGACACCGAGGATCATTGTACATTAATCCAGAAATGTCCTAATCTGGAAGTTCTTGAGGTAAAAGATCCAAATTGCTGCTTTTCCTTGTGAACCATACATCCATAGATTTCTTAATAAGTTAGTATCATTCACCCTCATCCAGCTTTCAAATCTCACTGATGTGGTCCGGTAGATATATTTACGGGCTATATATATCCTTTTCTTGGTTCCCTATGCCTGTGATACTGAAGATGCAGTTTGTATTTTCAGACAAGGAATGTGATCGGAGATAGAGGGCTAGAAGTCCTTGCACGGCACTGCAAACGATTGAAGCGGCTGAGGATTGAACGAGGTGCGGATGAACAAGGAATGGAGGATGAAGAAGGCTTAGTCTCTCCGAGAGGATTAATGGCTCTTTCCCAAGGATGCCAGGAGCTCGAATACATGGCTGTATATGTCTCCGACATCAATAACCAATCCCTAGAAAGCATAGGTACATTCCTGAAAAACCTTCAGGACTTCCGCCTCGTGTTGCTGGACTGGGAAGAGAGAATTACGGATTTGCCACTGGACAACGGAGTCCAAGCCCTCTTGCAGGGATGTGAGAAGCTCACAAGGTTTGCCCTCTATCTCAGGCCAGGAGGTCTAACCGATATGGGTCTAAGTTATATAGGGCAGTACAGCCAAAATGTGAGATGGATGCTACTCGGGTACGTGGGTGAGTCGGATGAGGGTTTGTTGCGATTCTCGACGGGCTGTCCCAAGCTACAGAAGCTAGAGATGAGAGGCTGTTGCTTCAGTGAACAGGCAATAGCTGTTGCGGTCACGAGACTGGTTTCACTGCGGTACCTATGGGTGCAAGGCTACAGGGCATCTGCCACAGGGCGTGATCTCTTGGCCATGGCTCGTCCCTTCTGGAACATCGAGTTGATTCCCGCTAGAAGAATCCCGGAAGTGAGTCAGCTCGGAGAGGTTAGAGAGGTGGAGCACCCAGCTCATATTCTAGCTTATTACTCTCTGGTCGGTCAGCGAAGAGATTTCCCTCCTACCGTTATCCCCTTTGGTCCGTGCCCTTGAAGAGGTTTCACCACAGCCTCTTGGTCTGTACATAAAACCCGCTTCCCGTAAGTTCTTTTTTACTCTTTACTACGGGTTTTCTGTTCATAGATTGGGATCGCAGATTCATCTTCTTATTCGGGTTCTTCACTTTTCAGTTTCCACGACTCTGCTTCGGGTTTCGCTCTCGGCTGTATCATCATCGGTCATAGATTCGTAGAGCCGAATCTGTGAAGCCGAATTCATTTCATCATCGTCTCTCTTTGTTAGAATTTGCAGTTTATGAATAAAAGATCGTTCATTAGTGCAGAAGATATGGGTTTTGGTGTGAGATTCCATTTAAATCTCATCGATTCTTTCATAACATTCTCCCCTTACTACATTACCAAAAAAACAAGCAATGCCATCTATAATATAGACACATTCAAAAAACGTTTGAAAGTTTCCTCCTTTTTTTTTATATATTTCCAGGAGGGTTTCTAAGCAGTAGCTCCGACAGCGACACCGTCGGCTGTGACGATGGCATTGATCCGAGACGATCCGTAAAGGGTTTGTTCGAAACGGATGATCTCGTTCTTGGAACCGTAAGCAAATTGAGTTCTGTCGTCGAGGTTGTCTATGGTCTTGTCGAGGATGGACCTGTAACCATCGCTGCTGAATCCACTGGCCTTCTCGATGACAGACCGAGCGGCGCCACCTCGAACAGCAGCCTCAGCTTTGCCTCTGTCGACGGCGACGTGACGTTTGTGTATATCCCCTTCCTTCTCCTTCACTATTATCTGGTTCACGTCCTGCACCATTCCTCCTGTGTATCTCAGTAAGTACTTCTCTTTCACGTAGTAATCTACCAGCTGTATTTCGTTGAGAGAGATTTGTTAGAAAAAAATGGAAAAGATCGAATCGAAAACGGGAAAAAAACCTTGCTGTATTCAGGATCGTCGAATGTAGCTCTCAAGTTTCCGGGAGAGAACATCTTCCCTTCATGATCTCCGTAGTCTCCTTTACGTATCGCCATTTTCCTGAACATGAAAAAGATCGTTCAGTGAGCGAAAAAACAACAGAAACTCCGTTGTAAATAACCGGAAGTGAGCGAAGAACCTTCGTCGAGGAGGAACTCATGGGTTCCGGGGTAATCCTTGAGGGCGATGATGTAAGTGGTTCGTGGGCCATAGATTCCCATGGCTGCAGCCATTTGATCTCGTCTGGTCACGCTGATTGACTTGTCTCCGGGCCACACCCCAAATATGGTTCCGACCGTGAAGTTTGTGTCCACCATGCTCGATCCGTGCAATGGATCAAACGCCACGCTGAACCCACCTGCCATTTTCACATCTTACCATCCGCTCAATACCGAGATTTTGGAGATGATTCGTGAGGGCGGATTGATTGATTCGATACCTTCGACTGGACCTCCCATCCCATGTCCTGGAGCTCGGTACTTCTTCCGAGCATGCGTACTTGCACACGTGCGAGTATTACCTATTACCATAGACGATAGCTTACTCACTGGCTTGATCGATCGGGGACGAAACTCTACGGAAATTTATGCGTTTTTCGGAAGAGAAAAACCTCGAAGAGAAGCTTGTCGGCGAGCATATCAACAGCGAGTTGTTCATCGCCAAAGGAATTGACACAAGCTGTTCCGCCGCGAGGCAGTTCTCACTTTGAAGGAGATTGTCCTCAACGCTTCTCCCATACACATTAGCAGTGTCCTCAGTCCCTTGTCCGCTGTCGCCTTTGCCAAGAACTCTTCCTATAAAACGCACATAATTCACTTTAAGATCGGATCTTTACCCAGAAATATGACCACAAGGTGGAATCTTTCTTCTCTAACTATGATGGTACGGGTCGGATACTCGCAGGTATCGATTTATTTAAGAAAAAATAATAATATTTATATGTAAAATTTTTAAAAAATGAAAGATATATTTATAAAAGTGGATAAATTACGATAAAAATATAAGATAAAGATAGATAATAGGAGATAAATATTATTAAATTTAGTTTTTTTTAAGATAATGTTAAAAATATAAAATTAACTATGGGATATTCGGTTTTAAAAATTCTAATATCCGGATTTGGATTCGAATTCACAGATATTGAAAAATTCGGATTTAGATTTAGATTTGAATAGGTACGAGTATCCTAAGATCGTATACTCCAGGAGCGCCACGTTGCAGAATAATGGTCTATAGTCCCATATCTCGAATATCATGAAAATAATATAAATAATAAATAAAAAGTATTTTCATATAAACACTTGCTTGTGATTTCCAAAATTTATTGGCTTGTGAATCTTAATTAATATCTATCATTCTTGCAATCAGATCATCATATTTTCTTGTAAACCTTTTTTATGAAATCGTATTCTATCATCTTCTCTTGTTGTCCTTGCAATCAAATCCTTAAATTTTTGAATCTTTATTCTTAAGTTTGTGATGTAATAATATTGTTTAATTTGTTGGGCTCAAACTCTGTTTCACTTTGGGTTTTAGCCTTCATGGGTTTTGAAGTAACTTTCCAAGCAGTATAAATTATAAAACCGCAAACTAAACCTCTTTTAATTTTTTTTTTCAAATTCCCAGATCAATCAGCATCTCTCTCCCGAATATTGAATATTTTTCTGCTGTGATTCAAGTCAAAATCACAACCGCAAGAAAAATATATAATAAAAACAGCTGCAATTTAATTGGATTTTAACATTTTAGATTTTAACAGTAGATTTTAGATTTCAATTATTTTTATATTTTATTTTAATTTTTGTAAAGACCGTCGATTTTGATAATATATTTAGATTTAGTTTTTATTATAAAATAACCATTTTCTAATTTATTTTATAATTTAATTTGTTTGACGTTAAAAAATTATAATCGACTATGTGGATTGAACTTGAAAAAGTTGAACCCTCAAAGAGTAATGCGGAAAACTAATCAGTTATATTCACTTGAGAAAGATAGTCAAGTACAACTCACTTTTTGTTGTAAGAATCGTACTTACTACACACACCCGAAACTCCCCCTGAGTTCCTTCCCTCTCACAATGAATTCTACTGATCAAAAAACCTCACAACATAAATCACTCACCAGAGAGAAGAGATTTGCCCAATCGGTCTCCCTCTCAGACTCGCACTCACCAAATAATGAGAACACACTCACTTAACGAAATAGACTAAGAAGTTATGCTCATGCTCTCTATCACGCTTGATATGCATCTTGTCTCCTTTATATAGGCTCCTCCAGTTTGCCTCAGATCTTCACGAATTGATTTGATAGACTTCACCTTGATTCTTGCTGATTTCATGTCTATCTTCAGGATCTTGCCGTATCTCTTGTTATTGACTCTATCTCTTCAGTCTTTGACTTTATCTTAATCTTGTCAGTTGTACCTCAGATTTGCTCGAGTGCAATCTTCGCCGGATTCTTCTCCTGAAATCTCTCATAGGTTGTTGAACCTGCAACAACCTTTTAACAACCAAAACAAACCAAAACAACACGTGCAAATACTTGCACTAACAATCTCCCCCTTTTTGGTTATTTCAGATCATGCACACATATGAATGCTTCAACTGAATTCCTCAAAGGTCAAGACAAACTGACTAGAGTCATCAAGGTACATGGTAAAACAAACATAACACTTCAGTTCACCACTTAGAATCCTCAAGAGCATGAAAAGTTTAGATCATAAGCAAACGAAAACTCAGAAACGAAGTGATGAGTCATCAGAAGGACTCCTGGCTCTTCTAGTCTTCCTGCTTGTTCCTGACTTCTTCGATGCCTCCGTTTTCTTAGGAGTCGGTTTAGGTATTTCAGAATCATCTCCTTCTTCCTCCTCCTCTGAGTCCTCTTCTTCTGAGTCTAGGTCTCCTTCGACTTCCTCAACTTCTCCCCCTGTGGGCATGGATGAAATAATCAAAAACAATAATATTAAGGTGAGAAGTACCTGAATGAATAATGAACACATTACTCAGAGTTGCTTCAACGTATTCGTGGACGGTTGCACGAATTTTTTGACATTGTGTGGCCTGCTTCCTTAGTCCGAGTTCCATCTTGATCAGTGCTTTCTCAGCATCCTTGAGAGTCTCCAGCATCTTCTTGTAGTCCTTCTTTCCTTTTCCCTTCTTCCTTTTGATCCTTGACTCAACCACCAGAGGTTTTTGGATTATCTCAGTGTTCTCCTTTGGATCAATGAGTTTAGGGCACTGCTTAGTGAGTATACTCTGAATCAAGCATGGATAAGGTAACCTGAACCTTGCTCTGAAGTTCAGTGCTCTATCCAGAATATGATCAAAGATCATACTTCCATAATTGATCTTGATTCCCTTTTTCACGCAGTAGATGAGTATTGCCAACCTCTTGTGGATCAGACTCGATCGCTGAGTTGGTAACCAGTTGGATCTGGCGATCTTGAACAGAACTGAAGA